CAATGGATTTTCACGCTGGCGACCCGGGTTCGATCCCCTGTGTTTCCGATTTTTAAAATCACTTTTTTCAGTTTGATTTTACTTTTTTTTTCTGAATCGGACGGAAGACCTCTCGTTGCTCGCAACGAGTTTCTTTTCTAGTTATTATTATTTTTCTTCCTGGGAAAATTTTGTCCGCGAGTGATCTTGTAAACTACACATTCGACTTAGGTGAAACCTTTTTAGGGTAAATAGGCATGTTATGTAGATTTGCGGAATCAAGGTCATTTTGCGCGCACGTGCTTGCAAGAGCACGCACGTGCAAAACTTGAAATGACCAATATATAATGGATATAACAGTAACTTTTCTATTTTTAGACGAAATGTTTTGAAACTCATAATGTAAGGATATATGAGTAGTATGCACAAGATGACATGGTCAAAATAGCAAGATCGCATGTGCAAGCATGTGCGCTTCGCTCTGATTGGCTGAAACTAAAGTCTCAATATCTCTCTTGTTTTTTGATAAAATCATTTGAAATTTTTAACATAGTCATACATTAGGGAGATCTACAGCCCGTAATAAAAGAAATATCATGAAAGACAAGATGACATGGTCAAAAAAGCATGATCTCATGCGCATGCATGTGCGCTTCGCTCTGATTGGCTGAAACTAAAGTCTCAATATCTTTCGTGTTTTTTGACGAAATCCTTTGAAATTTTAAACATAGGCATGTATTAGGATATCCTACAATAAGATATATAGCAATTATCATGAAAACGCGTGCATGCACGTGCGCTGCAATCTGATTGGCTTATGCTTTAAATAGCTATAACTCCCTTGGTTTTCAACCAAACAGGATGGGATATGGAACATGGATAGATATAATGGACTTCTACAAGAATATATGGACACCATGCACATGCATACATGTACATGTACGTGCTCTGCAATCTGATTGGCTGAAACTTTAATCAGCTATAACTCCCTTGGTTTTCAACCAAACGGGGTAGGATTTAGAACAAAGATAGATGTATTGGACTTCTACAAGAAAGTATGGTCGCCATGCTCATGTGAGCACGTGCGTGCACGTGAAATGAGTAAAATCAAAAATACACTTGAATTAGCGTATTTTTGAATACTTTTGGATAAAATACTTTGATATTTAGTATATTAAAATCTAAAGATTGTGAAGACAAGATTATATGGTCATTACGCACGTGCATTCACATGCGCACGCGTGCAATGCTAAAATTTGAATGAACTTGGTACACTTCTGGGTAAACGTTGTTAAAGTCTCAAATGCATAGAGTTTGTCTTATTTAATGAAGCTTATAGGGAATATGGCACCAAAAGGGAGTTGGGGAGCGTTTGGGGAACATCTGTAACGGTCACCGTTACAATTAGCACTAGTTCATATTGATAATGTAACAACATTAATAAACGCATGTAAAATGCACCAACAGATCTATCATTGTTCATAAGCACACTTAGTAAAATTGCACCTTTTCTTTAAAGTTGTTTACAATATTCAATTACAATGTTTCAACTGGTCCTAAATTAACCAATAATATAAAATCATTTAACATATTGCATCAGCAATAATGTTATTACACTAGATATGGTTACAGAAAAAATAACCTATAGTTAATATTCAAAACCTGTACACAACTAGTAAGTATGCATATTTCATCATGATGGAAAATTTTGGACGAGAAGTGACTGTACTTCACATGTACTTCACATGGTATGGATGACAAGTATGGTTTGAAATATTTATCAGAACAATTCTAATTTTGGAAAAAGAGAATTTCAACAATACTCAAGATCAAAATCAATATTCTGAATGAACAGATCTTTGAAAGTATATATACAACAAATTAACAATATTTCTTCTTTGCAATGAACATTTGCCCTTGTATTTGAAATTAACATTTAGAATTTGGTTTCAACTTGAATTGTCCTGTCACAGAGTTCTTTGTCAAAAATGGAAAGTGCTTTCCAGGTTGGTTTTTTTCATTGCGACCTGCAAAGCTGCATAAGAATTTCCCAACGAGGCCATCTGGTGAGACACCCTAGTAAGATCTTTCTTTATCAACAAAGAGGCCGCATTTTCTTGCACTTTCCCCCGTCTCCCTCTTGAAGTTCCTGTATTGACAGCAGAAATTGTAAAAAAAAATTATTTTTAACTGAAAGAAGTACATGTATTAATCTGACAACTTTTTGATTCAATGACAAACCAGCATTCTACCTAACGAGCTATTTGATATCCTATACTAGAGCAGTGCTGATAGTAAAAGTACTCGTAAGTGCCATATCACATGTGTTCAACCTCCTCAATTCCAATTAATTAAATATTGTTAGCAATTTACCCATCTTCAGTTTTATTGTAAATGTTTTTCAGCCTGAAGCTTTAATAAATATTTCCAGGCAAATCCCAAACCATTACACACCTTATAGCATGTGCATTATAGGTACGACCATGAATTAGAGCTTCGCTTTTAAGCAAAGCAGCAGATGGCCTCAAAACGAGATCCGCCATGACGTTTATTTAAACCAGTTTTTGGAGCTAGCTTGTCCTTGAGTCCTCTCCTCAATTGCAACAATTTCTTCTGCGTTTACCTAAAAGTACATTATAAGTAAATGTAATTACATGTTATTTTCTTAACCTAGAATGAAATTATCTTACCTAGGGAACTTACAAAGGAAAACACTGTAGTAACGTGAAAAAGAACAAGAAATCTGTGAGCCAGTGCTCAAGAGTAATACCCCTGCTCTGTTGTAAATAAGCACTATCATGTTAATATACACAAGTTCAATTACAGGCAGATGCACAGAAAAATATGAAGTTGACATCAGATTCATATCAAAATTAATCCCACCATATAGCATGCCTCAACAAAGAGCATAATCAAATTTCAAGCATCTGCTATGAATAGCTAATGAGAAAACTGTGACGAAAATTTGTAATGTATGAAACGACAGACGCACAGACAAACAGGAAGTTGATATCCGATTTGAACAAAAATGTATCCCAACATATGGCAAACTAGAGAAGATTGTGTTAAAATTTCAAGCACCTACGATGAGTAATTGCTGAGAAAACTGAGACGAAAATTTGTTACGGATGGAGCTATGGACACACAGACAGCTAGACAGACAGACAGACACACAAGGGTAAAACAGTATACCCCCTCTCCTTTGGAGCAGGGGTATATTTTGGAGCGGGGGTATAATTATTTCACAGAGGTTCATATGACAGATTTCATAGATGCCCTCATAGTTTATAGCTAACTTGTTTGAATTTTATATTGTGTACATTGAACTAGTGTCTAAATTAGTATAATCATTTTAAATTTGTTACATTGATGATAAAATAGTGTTTCTGGTCGGCTGTGATTTTATGATTTTGGACTAAGAATTTTTAATAGAGAATAAAATAATACCTACATCAACAGCATGCCAATCAAAATTGATGCTGTGGGGGTTTATGTCCCAACATTCAGAATTGAAATGTTGGGTCATAGCGCGCGGCGACATTTTTCGAGGTTTGAGTAACAAAATGCTCCCTAATTTTTAGGCAACAATTCAAACACATGCATGTATATGTTACATTTCATAATGCAGACTTAATTTTTACTCAGTACAGAGGCTACTTTTGCTTGTATCAGAAAACTTTCAGATGGATAGTAAGATTCACATATTTTTGGTTCAATAGAATTTTTGCAAAGTTTTAAAAATTTATATAAAGTTTCTGGGAAACATTTGTTAGATTCTACAATGATTAATTTTTAACATTTACACAATCAGAAAATTGTAATTAGACACCATTACATTGAAAGAAATATTGAAAAATTGAAGGGGGGGGGGGGTAAGAAATATGTTCCATTTAATTTCCTATTATTAATTTTATCACACACAAAAAAAATTGAATAAATCAAATACTACAAAATAAATCATGAAGGATACCTAACACCCCAAACAAAAACTTAAAATCGTTAGAGTCATGATGTGACAAGTGGGTATTTAGGAGAGGGGGGAAAAATTCAATATACTTCACTTGAGACTCTGTTGCTTCATCTTAATTAATATCATCTTATTTTAACCACTAAACTTAACAATAATTTCAATATAACCAGATAAAATCAGCTGTTATCAGTTATGCTTTGTAGTTTCGTTTTTTACTTTCGTTTTTAAAAAAAACGATCCCAATTTTAATACTGTTTGTTTATCATATCATTGTATTTATTTAATTAATTTCTTTTTTTAATAAAATGATATTTAATTAACCCCTAAATCTATGTGGTTCACCATGCATATACCCCCTTCAAATGGATACGCATAATCCCCTAACTGCTCCAGGCATGTTACCTGGGTTCATTCTACCTATTCCCACTTTTTGAAAATCATGTAGAAAAAGGTAAGATTTTATGTGGGAATAGGTGGAATTTTGTGTAAACAAATAATTAACTATGTTCTTAAATTTAGGTATTAAGTTGCTTTTTCTTGTAAGATCTTTTTATTATTTCAAAAATCCGATTCGAAATAAATCAAATTTTCTCATAGATGTATTAATTATTTTCTGTCTTAAAATGTACAAAATACAGGTAAATCTAAACGTCTATTGTTATTTGCAAGTGGGAATAGGTGGAATTGAGATTTTTATAAAGCGGGAATAGCTAGAAGACACCGTTACCTGTACAGCTGTGTCAATGTGTGCGTTCAAGCGTGAAGTGATTTCCTGTAGCTAATTAACACCTCGGATACAGACACTAATTGAATAAACAAGTCTGATGTTCATATCCCGATTTATAAAACACAAATCAGAAAAAATTAGGATGAATTTTCAGATCTTTCTTGTGGGGACAAACATGCTTTATTAATATTGGGTCAAAAAATGGGGATGATCAATTTTGCGGGTGAAAACAATGACATGCCGTGGGTCATTATGAGTGGGGGGTGAGAGGTCAGTTTTGCGGGTGTGACTCACTGAATGCGGGTCACTTGGCAGGTCTGCATCAACAGCTTGTTGAGTTGTACCTAGTATTCTGTGAAAGGTCTTTCTAAGTAGTCATGGTCAGCAAGCACTGCTTTCTATTAAAAAAAAATACTAAAAGGGAAAAGCTAATAACCATGCATGAACAGTTTAATTTTCATTAATTTGCAATGCTTCAAAATACATAAATATATCATATATAACCAAGTGAATGATTTACCTTAATATCTGCTCGCTCAATGAGATATCTAAATGTTAGATTCTCTGAGGTCTCAGAACAGTAGTTGATGACCATATTTCTGACTCTGTGACAGGGTACACAGCCTTGTATCTTAAATGTTCAGGACGTGGATCATAAAAGATATCGTCATTCAGTCTACACTTCCTGGAAAGATTTTCAGCTTTCACAGGTGATCCTAAATGGTAAAATTATATATTAATGTTCAGAAAACCCAAATATGTGATAATTATCATGGTTATTTAACAACAATTTTAAGAATATATTATATGAGTGACTGTGAGGTGTGATACAAGTTGTATATTTCCTTGTAACTTATTGATTAAAGTCGTTTGTAATTTGAAACTGCATATAATTGTTTAATTGCTCCTTTAATGTTAATTCATATATGCATATGAAACACCTTGTACTTACTTGACTTAAGAAACACTAAAGAGCACATGAATTTTCATGATCAACTTGACTTTCAAAGTGGGGGACATTGGTGATATAATAAAAGGTTTAAACTGTTTTGTAAAAGCAATCTTTATTCATAGTTTTTACCTGAGTATGAATGTTTAGGCTCGTGAAATGTTTGTAGATTTTCTGTGCAGGATCTTTTGACTTAAAGCCCCTTTCCGTCACTTAATTACAATAACATCAGTGCAACTGCACCAAGGGGCTTGCAGGTGCCATGTGGTCCTCGTCCTGCAGGACATTCACAGTGACTATTCTTTATGTATGGCACGCCAAATTCACAAAAATGAGATAAACCTAGTTTCACAATTGATAAACTAGGTTTATCGACTGTAAACTATAGTTTACAAACTGTAAACTACAGTTAACGATTCGTTAAGTATCGTTAACGATTCGTTAAGTATAGTTTTCATCTGTAAAACTATATTTAACGGTTGTTAACTATAGTTTACGAGTGCTAATCTAAGTTTACCTGTCTGTTATAAGCGTTAACAATAGATTATGTTGATAAACATAGATTCACATTTGTAAACTATAGTTTACAATCGTAAACTATAGTTAAGAGTTGTTAATCATAGTTTCACAGATCGTGAAACTATATTTATCAGATCGTTAACTATAGTTAACCGTTTGTAAACTATAGTTTACAAATCGTGAAACTGTATTTATCAGATAATCTATGTTTTGCAATCGCAAATGATTGTTTTCGGTGTTAAGTATAGTTTACGGTTGTGAAACATAGATTATCGCGTTAACTATGGTTTACAGACGTAAAATATAGATTAACGTTGTTAACTATAGTTTACAGTCCGTAAACTATAGTTTACAACCGATAAACCTAGTTTATCAATTGTGAAACTATGATTAGCTCATTTTTGTGAATTTGGCGTGCCATATTTATGTCCCCCGAAGACTTATCAAACTTCATTTTAAAGTTATATGTTACCTGCAATAAATTTGACAAAAATCAACTTAAAAGTAAATAAATTTCTATTCTATATAATCTATGTTTTGCAATCGCAAATGATTGTTTTCGGTGTTAAGTATAGTTTACGGTTGTGAAACATAGATTATCGCGTTAACTATGGTTTACAGACGTAAAATATAGATTAACGTTGTTAACTATAGTTTACAGTCCGTAAACTATAGTTTACAACCGAAAACCTAGTTTATCAATTGTGAAACTATGATTAGCTCATTTTTGTGAATTTGGCGTGCCATATTTATGTCCCCCGAAGACTTATCAAGCTTCATTTTAAAGTTATATGTTACCTGCAATAAATTTGACAAAAATCAACTTAAAAGTAAATAAATTTCTATTCTATATAATAAATCAAAAATTAAATTTTTTTTAACTTAAATTTAGTTTATGTATCATTGTACATGTAAGTAAACCTATACTCTTGTTTTCATAGCTGCTCCAACAATGCCTGTGAAATATAATGCATCGCCCTGCTTCAGATATGAAGCTTCCAGAATCCTGTCATTGTCAAGGAGCAGTCTTCCTTTTTCTATGGTCTTCACATCCCCCGTGCTTTCACTGCTTTGTTTGTCACCTATTGATATTGTTCAAGATAGTTAATAAGACAGGTATATATAATTAAATAAAGAAGCAATGACCAAACTTGTACTGCGCATCAAGAAAAATTAATAAATATTAAATAAGTTTTAAGTATATAGTTAAACAGTCAATTTGTCAATAGACAAGGCTACTTCAGGCAGGTATATAAAGCTACATAGGTAATTCGAGCTATGTAGCTAAAAATCTAGTGATTGTATCAGACCTGGCCTATCGATAATACGTCAATAATACATGTATATACATTGCGAAGAAACTCTGAGGAACGCTTAGTGTGTCAGTGTTACAAAAATAACAGTGCAAATCAGTCAAGACTTTATAATCAACATCACATAATTCATCAATATGCATATGTTTTTAGATTTAAGTCTAAAGAAAGATGTATAGCGTCGATGTTCATGGCACCAAAGTCGCATCCTCTGCCCAGCAACACATTTTGAAGTATTTTGTTGAAACTACTAGTGCTATGGAAAATAACTATATTATAATATATAGTTTTATTTAAATTAATACGTACCTTTCAATTAAATCAGCCTTCCTTCCTCTTGTTGTAGCTTCTCTCTTTCTTAACTCTTCCTTAAGTTGGGGAACAGTTAGCTTTAGATCTAGATATGTTTCGCTTTCCATTTCATTTTTTGTTTATAAGCGTCTCTGTGATGTCTCTGAAGCGTTTTACGAATGCCCTATAGCGACGTAAAATTTAGAACTGATAACAGTCATCAGCGTACCCTTTTTGTACTAATTAGGCAAAAAAAAAATTAATTTTTGGTTCTCAGGCACTCCCTCATCTCTTCCAAGGGTGCCTCATTGACCCTTTTTATTGCTAAATCAATAAAATATAAATACCAAATTACCTCCCTCATCATTTTTTGAGGTTTTGTACAATGTAAAAAGCTGTCTCATCATGTTTTGGGGGCAATAAAAAAGAAAAAAAAGCCTCCCTCCCTCATCATATTTCTTGAAAAAAAGGCCTGAGAACCAAGTAATTAACTTTGCATGGCCTTATATAAGTTGTGCTATTTCCTCAATGATTATATAATAACTGGTCAGTTTTTAATTTTAAAAAGTTTAATACAATCTTCAGTGATTGAAATTCTAATCTTTTTCACATAATTAGAAGAAAAAATGTCTGCCCGATACGTATTGGAAGTTAATTTTTGATACTATATATGAATCTTGATTATTGATACGTATCGATGTATTGATATATTGATACAACCCTAACCAGAAGAATATCTGTTGAATAAAAAGCATGTACATGCATGTATACTTTTATGTTTTTATATGTTTTTTTAAGTAATTTGTTTGTTTGTTGTGAAAACGTCTCTCTCAGGAGTTTTTCACTTATATGGAGACACCACCACTTAAAAATAATGAAGACAAGATGTGTTTGTGAAACCCTCATATGGCAGCTTATGACGAAGGTTGAAGTTTCTCAAATGCTGGTCAAACTCAAGGTCAAGGTCAAAGGGTTTAAATTGTTCGTATCAAAAGGAATTAAAGTCTTTTCATAAGGAATACACATGTGAAAAAAAAAATCCTAGTACTTCCTGTTAAAAAGTTTATTTGAACAAACTTGAATCTACACTTACACTGAGGATGCTGCCATAAAACTATGACCATGCAATCACAACTTTGCTGTTCTCAAGATGAAAAATTAAATTTAAAGATTTTTTCTATGTAATCCTACTTTAATCACCCATAACGGCCCCACCCTTGCCCCAGGGGTCATGATTTGAACAAACTTGAATCTTCACAACCAGAGGATGCTTCCATATAACTACCAGGACCAATCTTGGCTTTGCTGTTCTTGAGAAGAAGATTTTTAAATATTTTTCATATGTACATATTCCTAATTAATTTTAACTTTAATCTCCCATTGTGCCCCTACCCCCGAGGGTCATGGATGCTTCCATATAACTATTAGACCAGTCATGGCTTTGCTGTTCTTGAGAAGAAGATTTTTACAGATTTTTCAGATGTATATTCCTATATGTCAAACTTTGATCTCCCATTGTGCCCCCTACCTCCGAGGGTCATAATTTGAACAAACTTGAATCTATGTACACTTTCAGAGGATGCTTCCATATAACTATGACCAATAATGGCTTTGCTGGCTTTGAGAAAAATTATTTTTCCTATGTATTCCTTTAAATTTTGATACCCTATTGTGGCCCCACCCTTCCCTTCGGCTCAGGTAAGCTAAGGCCAAAAATAAAAAAAGGTGTTTCCTGCTACAGACCTACCCTGTTCTTTTGCACCCGACCCTAAAGTTTTTATTTAGTTTTAGGGGAGAAATTCGAAATTTCATGATCCAAAAGTGAAAAAAAATATATTCAAGTGGTATTTCATGAAATATAAGTTTAAAATATGGACTTTCATAAAACACTACTTATTTTAAATGATAATATTGACCTATGGCATGTTTCATTTGGTTTTGGAATGTTCATATTCAACAAAAAGCATTGGGAAAAAATAAAATAATATTTTCCTACCTACCTACCCTATTTTTTTTCAGGCTGGTAGCAGGAAACAAGACTATTATTTTTTTTGGCCTAAAAAAAAAAAGGTTAATTACTTCACATACTTTGGGATTATGTTTACAATCAATACATGTCATGCAATTTTAATCTTTTAATCAATTTTTTTAATGAGCACTGTAACGTATATATTTATATTTTATTTTATTCAATTTGACAAAAACCACATGTGGCGCAAGTCATACATACAGTAAACAAATATAAAATATATAGTCACATAGATTTTCTTATATTACATGCATCACGTATGAAGTTACACAATCGGATCACGTACACTCGCCCTTTTCCGTAACCGATAAACAGTTATTTGTGGTTACGGAAATGGCCGAGTAATTACGATTGTTTATAGTCTAATATAGACACTCACCTCCTCACGTAGAATGCGATAGTACTTTAGTGGTTTTCACTGTAGTGTATGGGAAGAAGAATATGATTTTTCCCACCAAAATTATCTGGCAAGCGGTAAATCTATTCCTCAAAAGTGTCATTTGATATCTAGAGTTCCGATATTTTGGCACGATATTTTACATTTATTTTGACAAATGTGACAATAACCAGCTAATCTTTTGATTTATTCTGATGTTTAATACTGCATATTAACCAGAAATAATTAGATAAAGTATTACAAGGTATTAAGAAAGAAAAGACAGAAGATAGGAAAATCGCTGTAGCCCCGGTTTTTTAATTTGCCCCGGCTCGAGTTTGCCTACCCATTTTACCAACACTCAACTATTATGACTTCCAAACCCAAAAGTTCCAAAAAATGCTGTGTCAAAAGACGATCTTAGACGTCTCATGAAGGAAAAACTATCTTGTACGAAGGAATCAAAAATCAGTCACCCTTTAGCTAATAGTCTCGTTCAACCAGACGCTCGGCTGTCTCCTAGACTGGTACCCTGACATTGGTTAACGGGCCCAAGCGCCCTAAAAAACCAACGACAGGTAACCACTGCCATTTTATCGCGTCACAGGAAACAGCACTGATGAAAAATCTATATTTAGACTTGCGTAAATCCAGAAGTGCTAAAGTAAATAAAACCTTCTCTCTGCACTCTACACTGCTGTTAACAAAGAAAGTAGACGGATTTTAAGCATCTATAAAACCATAAAGAAGTGCTGCCTCAAAAAACCATTAAATGTAAAGCGATATC